TTTGTTGCAGCTGTAATTGCTGAAATTTGCGGGAAAGTGTATTAAAACCTGTCCATTAATGCGTTCCATCGAATCCCGAGAGTTTTGGTGGTGGAAGCATCTTCGAATTTCAAAAAATTAGAGTCGAGAAAGTCTTTTCTCGGAAATTTCTCCAATATGGCCGGATTGTTGGCCGTTAATTTCTTGAGAATAAAGCCAGCTGACTTTAGCGCTTTGATCACATGGAAGAGTGAATCGGTGGCATTGTCAATATCATGACATCCGGACAGGACATCATCAACATACGTTTGGGTTTAGAGTATTTGTGTGGCCAGTGGAAACTTCATTTTTGTATCTTCTGCCAGTTGATGCAGAGTACGAGTTATGGCGCACAATTAACCCCTATTGTCACTGTTTTAAGATAATAATCAGAGATGGGGGAATCCTCTGACTCGCGAAACAAAATTCGCTGATATCTTTATCATAATCATGGATGAGGATTTGCCGATACATATTTTCAATGCTTCCATTGACTACATATCTGTACATGGGCCATTGTAAAATTAGCAACGGTCCGGTTGGAGTGAAAAACCGATATGTACAACTTCATTTAGGGAATAACCAGAACTTAATGTTTTCGATGCTTTGAAAACCACTCTCACTTTCGTCGTGACTTTATCAGGTTTTACAACCGCATGATGTGACAAATAGAACGAATAGTTTTTGCCATTGGAATTAATTTCACGGTGGGTTTTGAATTCCATATGGCACAACTTTATATATTCTTGCTACACATCGTGGTAGATTGTCTTTAACTCTCCTTTCTTTTGAAGCGTTCGATCCATGCTAAGGAATTGCTGGAATGCCGCAGACCGGGAATGGCCTAGGGTGAGTTTTTCGGGAAAAGTTTCCTTGAATGGAAGCCTGACAATGTAGCGACTGGTTGAATTACGAGTCGTTGTTGCAACATAATAGTCTTCACATGCCTGATTTTCAGGCATACTTAGTGGAGGTATATGGAATTCCTCCTGTTCCTAGAATTGTCGTGCACTGAGCGTTTCATTGGAAACTCGTTCTATTTGGGTGGAAAATGAGGATACCTTTTTGGTCACCAAACCACTAAGTATCCATCTAAATATGGTATATTGCGCAAGAAGATTGTCGCAAAATTTTTGCAGCCCTTCCACTAGAATATGTGGAATAAGATCGCTGTCGATAAAATTATCGATTTGAGCTGGAATGTGACAATTTGGGTCAGCTAGCTCGAGACTACTCAATTCATGCCAGTTTTTACGAATCATTGTAAAGGTCGGAAGAAGCTTTGTTAACTGAGGTTAAACTATTGCATGGGCCTTAATTCGTTGCTTGGTTTTGGAAGAAACCGGCGTCAAAGAACACAGCTTAGAAGAATTTTGGACCACTCGGCCACCCATGTCTGAAATTCCGAACCTGGAATGTTCGAACGGTAATTTCAATATTTTCTGGACTTTCAAGGAAATATAGGTCCTTTGGGAACCTTGGTCAATCAAGGCCAGTAATTGAAATAGTTCTCCTTCATGTTCAACCGCCACCATGACTGTTGAAAGGAGAACTTTGTTTTCGATGTAATGTAAAGACTGTATTAGTGCATTTTTTGAACACCACGGTTGCTCGTCGGGATTGGAGCTGGATTGTGGATGTTGAGCGGAAATTGATGACTTTGCCATTGTATGTTGTACTGTAGCTTCATGAAGTCCGCTACTGCTACGTTGAGTATGTGGTTAATCATCTATGTGCAGTAGAGTATGATGCATTTGTTGGCATTTCGCACATGTAAACTTGCTCTTACAGTCTTTGACATTATGGTTGTAAGCAAGGCAGTTTTTACATAGGTTGTTTTTCTGTACAACCTTAAAACGTTCTGGTTCTGACATTTTTCGGAATTTTTGACAGAGTTTTAGAGAGTTGTCAGAGTTGCACACCTGGCAGGAATATGCCTTCATTGATTCTACCATAAAGTTTTGTGTCCTAATTAAATATTTTTGCTGAGCAGCATATGGAGCACCGGGTGTAGGCTTATTAGGATGAAGCTTATTTAATCTTTCTGCCCCTTCGAACCGAGAAGTTAGAAAGTCGTCGGTAGATCTCGTCTTGATGATGGCGATTGTTCCCGAAGTGAGAGAGTTGTTTCTGGTAATTTTTCTGAACAAATGTATACCAGTATGGGATCCCAACTGTCTGTTGAAACGTCCTGAGAATGTATGACAGGCAGACAGTTGTTAATACTTGAAGCCCTTGTATTTGTCCGCTATTCTCGGATTGAATAACAGACAAATTCATTAAAATTTTGACCTAATTATCTACTAAAATGCGTTTGTTTTCATATCTAGACCGAAAAGCTTACCAAGAATATTGTTCGACAATAGCTCCGGCTTTTCCTTGTGTTTTATACCTGAGGTGGTATGGTTTTAGAGCATGAGAAAGCTTCGGGTGGTTAATATACAGGGCTGCGAACATGTCACGGAAGGCCGGCCATTCCTCATAACCCTCATAAAAGGTCTCTGTGTTGCAAGGAGGAACTTGTAAAAAGATATTGGACCCATTTGATTGCTCTGAAGTGGGTTCCACACGGGATAGTGGACCCGGAGCATTGACTAGTCTGAGCACTTTTAGTTGGTCCGACATCTTGATTTGGGTAATTTCGTAGATGTCAAGACATGCATCATACTTGCCTTGAGCAGACTCTTTGAACTTGTCAGGCAGGCTGTCATCCGTTTTGGAAAAAACGTTATCAAAGGCAGCTTGTAGTCGTATAAAATAGTCATTTAGACTTTTGTGTTTGACTTCGAGATACGATTCGGTATGATCTTCAATTGGGGAACTATCCAATCTTGAACAGTATCTCATTAGGCTGTCACTCTCTGTTATAAACTTTTGCGCACAGAAGTCGTACGCTTTAGTTCTTGAGCGCGTTTGTGAGGATTCCTTCTTTGCACTTGCGGAATCTAGCGAAGTAGTTTTCGCTTTACCCTCAGTATCTGGCATCTTGGCAAATTTCTTTTCTTGCTCTAGAGGCTTTTTGTTACTGTGTCCAATTGGCTTTGAGGGATTTTGGAAAAAAAAAACTTTTTAAAGCCTAAAAAATTTAATAAAGCAACAAATTGTTTTTTTTTTAACTACGCACCCAGTAGATAGTGCAATCAATATTTGCACTACTTCCCACAGAAAATTTATAAATTCCGAATATGAATTTAGTGTATGTGCGAGTGTGTGCGTGTTTTTTTTTTGTCAAAAATGATTGACTGGATATAATTCTAAACTTAACTTATAGAAAATGGTTAAGCTATTGTTTTGAAAAAAAAGTATAAAAACCGAAAGTAAAACAAAAAAATTTAATAATTTGAAATAAAATAAAAGAAATCACACACACTTACACTTATGTATTTACATGTATTGAAATATACGTGGAAAAATTATATATAAGTTAGATAAAATAATATAACGTAAATTATCATTTATTAAAATATATAAGTATGAAAATATGTAATATATTTTTTTATGTCGAGACGGCAAGATATTAGGAAACTTATCTTGTATCTTTAGGGTTATTTGTGTACGCACTCGTTTATGTTTGTATATGTGTGCTAAATGTGTAAGCAAGTTGCACCAGCTGAATATATCTATATATCTATATATATATATATATATGTTGGTGTATCAATGTTTGGATTTATTGTATTTGCTGCCAAAGAGAAATGCAGCTAACCAATGCTGAGAAACAGCAATCATAAAGAGTGTTAAAATGTGAGCGTGTGAATGTGCATAATGCTCTTTAATTAGTTTAATGCTGTAAAGTGCACTCCTCATCTATTGAAAAAAAAACAGATATCGCACAAAAGAGAATGGTGGATAAAGGTTTTGTGAGAAGATCACTAGTAATTATAACTTTCTTTGTTTTTTATGCGCTCATGCAAACAATTCGTGGTGAATATTTCCGTAATGTATGTAGGTAAATTGTTTGCTTTGAGCTCACTGTTAGCCTGTAAATTTTGTTACCAGCGAAATAGGAGGTAACATAAATATCTGCTATTTGATTATGTGTTGTAGGTTTGAGAAAAAATAAAAAGCCAAAATGGGTAGGCATATTTTAGGATCGAGAAAAAAGCGCAAAACGCCGTATTTTAAGAAGTTTTCGAGACTAAAAAATATCCCTTTAATTAGTAAGATAACGTTCTCATTCAGCTTTTTTGTTGTCCAGGCATATTTTCCATAGTTAGGTTAAAATTTTTGTGATTTAATAAACAAATTAATAAAACTTTTTCATTTTTTTTTGTGCACCGTCTTCCATTTCGATGTGAATATTTTTCTTTTTTACTTTATCAACTGGCAAATGTAATTTGACGTGGACGAGAGAAACAGTACTGTAAAATTTTTTTCAAACATTGTTGACCGTTCGCCAGAATACCAAACTCAATTTCGGGTGTTAAAGAAAAGTAACAAAATTTGATTTAACAGTGAGAATAGGTCTGTTACTGTAGAGTAAGTAGGATAATGAGGCAATGACCTTAGAGCCCGCAATAAGAACAACAAACACAGAGCATAAAGTTTACAATCTATTACTGCAACAACAGAAGCCAGCCAGGGACATACATAAACACATACGTATGTATGTATTTTGAGTAGACAAAAATACTAAACTAAATATTAACATAAAATTTAGTCTTGTTACTACAAAAAATAATGGTATTGCTAAATACAATGGAGATAGGGATGCTCTGTAGAATTTTATAGAAAGAAGTGATTCAATGGTACCTATTTTAGAATCTTCTACTCCTGACTTTAAAGCTTTATGAATGAGTCATATAATGGATACAGTAGTATGAAGTGCTAGAAGGTCTTAAGTTGTCAATTGAAATACTGATAATTGGACAGCTATTAAAAAATTATAATTGACAAGCATGGCAAAATAAATTCAGTAGATGAACTTATCGATAAAATATGTTCATCTCGATGCGATTCACCAATCGAAAACTTTTACAACACATTAAAAAATCGGTCGCCTAATTAACGAATGATATTTTAGTGATAATCATTATCCCGAAAGTAATGGGAGAATTACTCTAAGTTCTTTCCAATATGGGTTACCTGAACCTGTAAAAAGTATAACTGTTAGTAGAAATTCAACTGAACTGAACGTAAGTAGATTAAACAGCAACAGCAGCAGAGAGAATACTCAACAAAATACTGGTAATATGAATGGACAAATCAAATAACAAGGACAATATTACATAAAAAAAATGACAATGTCAATTACTATCAACAACAAATACAGCATCGTCTTTTCGGTGCAGTCGCGAGTAAGCTTGCATATTAATCCACAAAATAATTCGACAATTGAACCAATCGGTGTGAATGAACATAACCAAAATTTTCAATAGACGCAGAACAAAATTACCATATACGAATATAATAGTAAGTAAATTAAGATTTATTATTGATACGAGTAATATAAAAATTTCGGTCCTACCCCACTTTGGTGAAAAGGAGAAATGGTGTAAGGAAAAATTTATATTGTACATACTGTCATACATACATAAAACCGCAAGTGTAAAAATATATACATACTGACTCACATACATCTAACCGCAAGTGTATATTTTGCGATTTTTAGACAGACATACGTTATGCAGGAGCGGTTCAGGGTTCTGGGGGGTGGGGGGATGAGGGATGGACCCTGGGCCCTTTTTTGTAAGGTAAAAGTGAGCGCTCCCGTTTTAACTAAAAATGTGTGTGCTTATGCGCGCGTGATTACTATATGAAACCACAAAAATATGAAGATATTGAAGTTTATATGTGCTGTTAATGAACAAATGTGTTAATACGTTACATTTACTTTAAGACCGCAATCTGGTCCTGCAATTCGCTTAATGGTATAAACATTCCGCAAGAAAATGATGTTACACATCTTGGTATACATTTAGATAGACGTATCTCTTGGAAGAGAAATTAAAAGCAGCTAGTTTAAATTTGCTTTTAAATAAAAAACTCCGGTCTGAAACTAGAACCCAAAGTCCTTATTTACAAGGTAATATTAAATTCAATTTGAATGTATGGTATGGTGCGACTTGTGCAACTAATATTGATAAAAATTTTAAGAACACTAACTAGCGCACCATGGGACTCGTGGTATCATGTTTTAAATTACTTTTTACGATTTGTACACTTACTGTTTGGTTTATATTAAAGCAGATCCAATAAATAAATGAATTGCATAATAAAAAATTATGTGTAGAGAGTGTATAAAAGTATTTAACCTTATGTTTTCATTTATATTAATTTTTCTAGCACAATCCCTAAAAATTCAGAGTTGAAATCTATTAAAATGTTTAGTCCAGCATTTATCTTTGATGTAGATGATGAAATTTTTATTTTGAATTTTCTTGAAGGAATTTTAATTTTTACTCCTTTTATAAATTCGGGATTCAATGAATAAGCGCAAAGGAATTCGATCTGAAATCAATGGACGAATAACAATTTATGGTCCTTTGATTTACAAAAACTTTGTGAAAGGTTTATAAGTCAATTACTTATAAAATAGATGGAATATAATTTTCACTTAAGAACTAATGGAATTCCTAGAAAATTTAAAAAAATGGTCATCCTGTGGAGAATTTCAAGTCAATGTATTTGTAACTAAGGGAGGTGAGGTTAATGCTACGTATGTCATACCATTCTTATACTTTTATATTTTTGTAAAATATATTATTACAATTTTGAAACATTTGTTATGACTAAATTTAATAAATGCATATTAACTTTTTTTCATGTGTTTTGTATTTGCAAAATCACCAATATCTTTATATTTGCATACAATTTCTAAAAGTCAATTAAGAAGTTTATCTTCACGGATCCATTCCACATGTTTTCAAGATGTTTTGTTGAAGTGCATTCCAAATCAATATCATCCGCTTGAATTTCATCGGCAAACCACTGATGTATTAAAGTATTTAATTACTGAATATCTCGATCATTATTAAAATAACTTGAAATGAGGGAGCTTCTTCCATTTTTCCATTATATAATCCTTTAGTGTTTAGCTTTTTTTATAGAACCTCAGATTGTATTATCTTTGAAGGTCGTTGTCTCTTTCGCTTATGTGGTGAATATGTCTTCTTTTCTATTTTACCTTGTAGGGATGCAGGGGCTTCTTCTATTTCTTCAAGCTGCCTTTTAAATTCTTCTTCATCGAAGCTTTTTAACATCTTATCGAATTCTTCTTAATCAAACACATAATTGAACATTTGTTGTTCACTGTCAAAGTTTTAATAATTTTTAGAATCCTTTGCTTTACGTTGATGTGATTCCCGTAAGTATATTATTACATTTATATTATTATAAAATATAATTCCTATTCCGGGGTATACACCCCATTAGGTAAGCTTCTGGGTATTACAGTTGCGAGGCTGTACTCAATTCTTCTTCTTGCGTCCACGTCGCGCACCCTGGAAACGAGAGTAGCCCTTGGGTCACTACTAAGGAGAGAGGAAGCTTCAGTGGGGCCACTCCGACTTGTTCGGTTTAAGAGTCTGTGCAGCATCTGTTCACCAAAAGTGCGGCTGCGAGCAGGTGTGGATCTTCAAGCAAACAGCTCGCTTTATAAATGTGTAAAAAAAAACTTTTAACTTACTTGCCGCGAGGTTGTGCGCTGAGTTTGGGACCCGCCATGTAGAAACCAGCTCCAACGAAAAACATTGTTGACGACCCCCGCAAACGAATTAAGGATCACAATTCGAGGGCATGCCCCTGGAATGTCTTATGCCTTAATTGGGAAAGTGCGGCTGCCCAGCTGCGGTCATATAAAGGAGCGCAACTTTGGTGTTAGATTTGTGGTGGAAGAGAGACTCCGTCGTCGAGTACTGGCATTCACTCCGGTGGATGAACGTCTCGCCAAAATCCGCATCAAAGCAAAAATTTTCTACATACAGAGAAGGTCAGAGAAAGACGAATTGACCAAAGATGCCTTTTATGAGCGCCTAGAGCATACTTACATAACGTGAAAATTATCTTTTTTACGACTGTTGCTTAATTCAGCCTTTACAACTAAACATTGCTCAATGGGTTGAGGCTGATCGAGTTCGCCGGAGCGCGAAATATGGTTGCCTGTAGTACTAGATTCCAGCACAAAAAAATACATCGAGGTACTTGGCTGTCCTCTGACCGAAAAACACAAACCCAGATCGATCATATTGTGATAGACGGTAGATACGTCTCCAGTGTTCTTGACGTGCGTACACTCTGAGAACCCAACACCGACTCGGACCACTATCTTGTGGCAACGAGTATACGCGTGCTTCTCTGTGTATCGAAGAACGACCGTCAACGAATACAAGAAAAGTTCGACGTTGAAAAGCTCCGATCACAACAGACTGCCAAATGATTTTCTACTCGAATTGAACTCCTGCTCCCTGAGAGCACTCATCAGCAACTCGGTTAATGGGTGAGCACGAAGAGTTTGCGAAGCTGGATGACAAGGGTAATGTTAGAAGATTCTACGAGATAATACGACGACTTAAAGAAGGTTTCAAGACTGGAGCAGTCTCTTGTGGGACACTGATGTCCAGAGTTAATTGATTTATTGGAGTGAACACTTCTTCCACCTGGTGAATAGTAGTGAAAATGGGGAATCCAGGGACGGTGAACCCGAAACGCCAATCCACTACGATGAAAAAGACGTTGCAGTACCTGACCATGAAAAAGTTCGATTATCAATCACCCGCTCAAAAAACAGTAAAACAGCGGAAGCTGACGGCCTACCGGCAGAACTATTCAAATATGGCGGTGAAGAACTGACAAGGTGCATACATCAGCTACTTTGCAGAATATGGTGGGACGAAAACATGCCCGTCGATTGGAATTTGAATGTGCTCAGGCTAATCCATAAAAAATGACGTTACCGTCCACCACAACTGCGCCGTTAGTTCAGCTTTCTCCAGGCTTGATAAAGAAGCGAAGTGAATGTGTCTGGCAGTAAACGAGAACAAGACGAAATACCTCCTGTCATCAAACAAACAGTCATCGCATTTGCGATTTGGCTCTCACGTCACTATTGACAGTCATAACTTTGAAATCGTAGATAATTTCGTCTATCTAAGAAACAGCATTAACTCCTATAATAACGTCAGTCTTGAAATCCAACGCAGAATCACTGTTGCCAACAGGTGCTACTTTGGCCTAAGTAGGCAAATTAAAAGTTAAGTGCTCTCCCGACGAGCGCAAACCGACCTTTTCAAGTCCCTCATCGTTCCCGTCCTGCTATATTGCGCAGAAGAATGGGCGATGACGACATCTGATGAAATGGCGTTAGTAGGTTACGATAGAAAGGTTTTGCGTAAGATTTAGGGTTCTTTGCGCTTTGGCAACAGCAAATACCGCAGACGATGGGACGATGAGTTCTACGAGTTATTCGGGGAGATTGATATAGTTCAGTTAGCGAACACTCCAGTTTTGAAAGTTTTCGATGCAGTACTCGCTGGTGGGAGCAGAGGAAGAGGAAGACCTCCACTATATTGGAAAGACCAAGTAGAGAAGATATTTCCCATTCGCGTCAAACCTGACGAACGCAGCTAGAAATAATGTCAATAGGTCGCTTGTTGCCACCAGATGAATTGCCTATGTAGCGAAACACAGAAATACGCAAAAGGGTACGTTGTTATTAGGCATGTTCGGCCTGTATATATTTTAATTTCAAACGGGCCCGTGAAATCTACCCCCGTATTGGTAAAAGGCCTGGATACCAGAGTTCTTTCCGGTGGAAACGCAGCCATGAGTTGTTTTTGTGTCCTTTTTCTATGAATGAGATAAACTTTACAGTTATAAATAACCATTTTTATTAAATTTTTTAACCGTACCACCCAATATTCTGACATCATTAGTCTCAGTATGACCTCATGAGTTTCAGTTGATTTCCACCATGTAATGAAATCAAGTGTGAGAACTTGACAAGAAGTCGAGAAAATTGGAAATCATACGGTAAGATTGTGGGGTATCGTTCATTGTGCCATAATGATGCTAGCGCTAGTCGACCGCCCACTATCATGATTCCATTCTTATCAAGAAATGGATTGAGAAAGCGGATGGAGCTCTTAGCGCTCACTGAGTTTGCCTGCATCTACTGCATCGTATTCATCCGCAAGACAAAGCTTTTGGGTCAATACAACTAATCGCGTTTTAACATCTCAAATTTCATCTGCTGTAATTTCCGCACATTCATGCTGATTTATTTTTTTTAATACCGGATTTACTTTCCGAAAGAATTGAAAAATTCGCGCAATTACCCTCAACGCGCATGAAAAATCGGAGAATCATTTTCAGATGTCTTCTCTGTCTATGATTCATGCTGCTTGAGCCTTTTTGCTCCAGCTTCGTGTGCAGTGGCTCACTCTGCCTCTCAGGCCACGCTGACTGTTGTTTCT